GAACTGGTATCTACCATTTATACTCAAAGTTTTAATGGCAGGAAGTAGGAGACTCGACCTGCACGTGACGGCCGAAAAGCAAGAGTATAGAAGAGCATTACGAAAGTTGGGCAAGCTGGGCGATGAAAACAACGGTCTCCTCTTCGTTTTGGCGCTACGATTAAGGCGTTTTCCTTGCTTTTAAGATAGCTAAAAATGGTAAAATAAATTTTCAAAACCAAGCCTTAGATGGAACTTAGCTTTAGTGCCATTCTTTCCTCTGTTTTCTCGTATCCATGGAAATTCTCGATTCTTTCTCAAAAAGCAGTCGTGATCATTATTCTTACACCAAAGGTCACTTCAGCAGAGCCAAAGCCTCTAAGAAACACCCTTATGTTTAACCTTATGTAAGCTTCACCCAAAACTTAGTTCGGTTCCCGCTTTTTAACTCGTGAATTGCGCGCATGCGCAAGAGCGAGTTGTAGATACGATGTGGGGAATAGCACTCGCTCGCTCGCTCGCACGCTCGATTAGTCGATTCCTGTAAACTTTTTTTCGATTTTAGGCTTTTAAATGCATTTGATAGTTTTTGGCGAGCAATAAACAAACGAAATGGCGACCTTTGTTGCTAAGAATAGTGGTGGGGTGAAAAAGAAGCCAATGATAACCTTAAAAGAGTTTTTTTTTTCGTTTTAGTTTCAACAAGCGGCGCAAGCGACTAGCAGGCATGCAAGGATTCACACTGAAATAACAGAACAACCTTCGTTTTCCATAAAATTGTAATTTACAATCCTTGAACTTGTAAACAATCCGAAGATTCATTGAAAATATCACTTACTGCGAAGCGCTCGGAGTTTACAGATGTTCAAAAGCTTCTTCTGTTATGGCGTGATTGAGGACAAAATCAATCATTACGTTTCGTATCGTGTGTTTTTCCTGTGTGAAGCAACAAAAGATGCCAGCGACAGACGAAATTACAAGTTAACACGAAAATCAAATAACACCTAAACAAACAATTTCAGTAACCGATTTTCAGTGAATTTTTAAAGAACAATTTTCTTTTAAGTTTCAATACAATTTGAAGATTTAAAATACATATTACGTACTAAGATGCGAAAGTTATATACTACAAAATAGATAAATAGGCCTGAAATGAAATTCTATCTTGTTATTGATTATACGTTGCCTTGCACGTGACTAAAATCTACCCAGGCGGAGATCCAAAATGACGGTGGCAGTCTTGGCTTAGTTATATCGCTCAAAACTCGTTCCCGTTTGTCTCATTTGATAAAGAGGGAATTGTTAATGTTTTCAATAAGACAGTATTGCCTTGATTTTCTAATATTTACAATGACAGACAGTAAATTTCACTTTTCACCCACATTCACTTCCAACCTTTTCTTTTGAACCAGAAACAAAAATGATATACGTTTAAAACACGACATCATCCACCTTGTCAAATGTAATAGCATGATCATTTCAATTGTAATGCCTTCTTATCCCAAAGTTACTTTGTTTCTTTGCTACATTAGCGAGCACTGAACTACTGCTCGTACTCTAGATATGACAATCAACCACCAAATTCCCTAAACCAGGTAACATTAAACATAATCCAAAAAATCATGTGTCAATTCACGAGTTTGCTCACAGAGCACTTTGATTCTCAATCGAATTGTCAAGCTTTAATAAAAACCTCAGATAAATACCACCCAGGATCTCCTGCACTTTGTTATAGCTGGAGATTTTTTGATACGTTTTGTTAGGGAAACACACGAAAAGTGTGTTAGCGTCCATTCATTAACAATTAGTATTTTGAGATAAACGGATAAACGTCTTCATGAGCCATCTTGAGCTTCCTTCCTCGGATAACCGAAAGAAAATCTGTTTAGGTTAAGATACAATCTCAAGATTTGTTAGACACAGGGGTCAATGATTGATTGAGCTTGGTCGGGCGGATCGGGAAATATTTGACTCTGACTCTGTTTTATTGCTTCTGAACAGATGGATGGAAATAATGGAACACAAGGATAAGAAGGGCCTTACCCCCATGAAGCTTCTCATAAAACACTTCCCAGAGAGTGCACAGCTGGTGATGGATTACTGCATTGATCGATCAGAGATAGAAAGTTCCAGTGATCCAAATTTTACCATTACTTGCAACCTCCGTTTCCTAGACCCCGGACCTACTAACACTATTTGCCAGAGAGGAAGCCATTTCTTTGGACCGAGCACCATGGTGAAACACGAACGTAAAGAATTACTCGATCATCCTTTGACACAGGTCTTGTTGAATAAGAAGTGGTCTTCTTTCGGGCGCTTGGTGTTCTACTTTAACTTTATGTTCTATTTTGTCTTTGTTGTCATGTTTACAGCTTTCTTAATCCGATTCATGCAGAACGGTGATACAGGATTGGGAGATTCTTTCATGTATCCAATAGTATTTTTACTTTTTGGCGTCCGATTCATTAAGGAAGTTATTGCAATAGTTGTCCAGAGGCTTCATTATTTCACCACTTTAAGTAATCTCACTGAATGGATACTCTACAGTACGACGGGTTTCTTCATGATTTCACTTTTCGCTTTCGATTTTACAATTCCGTTTGACGACCCTGAGAAGCGTCATAATCGTTATCCACAACTCATCTGGGTGTTGGGTGCCATTTCGATTTTCCTTTGCTATGCGAACCTAGTCTTGGTTCTTTGTCGGTTGAGTCTGGTTGGAATCTATGTCACCATGTTTATAGAGGTCACTAAGTCGGTTCTAAAAGTACTTCTAATCTTCTTTGTCTTTTTCTTTGGGTTCTCCATGGTGTTCTACATCCTCTTTAAATCAGAGGTAAGATGAAATAAGAGATAAGTGTGTATGTGAGTAAATTTGCTTCTGTTTGTGATTTATGTGAGTTTTTTCCCTTTTTTATGATGCTCGTAATTTAAAACCCAAAGTAAAAATATTCCTCATTCTGTACCTTTTCGCGCCGTTTATTGACTCGCTCAATAGCAACAAGCTTGACAGATTTGGTTACAGTAATTAATTAAAATGTCACCTGATTTTGGGCTCAATATGGGTGCAGCAAATGCCTAATCGTACCTTTTCAGTGCGCTTTGACGACATATAAAGCTCGCTCGGTCTTGTCAAGGGTATCTTGGAATCATGACTCAACTAAAATCGCTTCATCTTCTAACGGAGCGCGCCAAAAAGGTACGATTAAGGATGATATAACGTTATAGTAAGCGAAATATGCAATAATGATAAACAATAAACAACTCCCAAGATCTGATTGTTAATTCTCCCCTCTAG